GGCACAAGCATCAGGGGCTGGCTGGCTGGGGCTTGTTGCCTCGCTGCCCAGCAGCCGCACAAGCACACCAGCAGCCTAAGGCCCCTGCGCGCCAGCACATACACCACACAACAGCCCCTCCACGCCACACAGCTACGCACCAAGCGATGCACAGCCATATGCGCACCACAGGCAGCCTACATGTGGGCTGCTAGGCAGCCCGGCTAGCCTTGGTGACGCTTGCGGTTTTGCATCGTTTTGCATGCATTTAACTCGGAATTTAATTCCGATTTGTGTGTGACAATAATCAATTCTAAATCAAATTTTAGAATTAATTTTGAGGGAAAAATAAAATAAAACAAATGTTAAGTCTAACTTAAACAATTTTATTTTAATTGGTGCACAAGCCCAAATTTATCCAAAATTATCAATTTTGAACAAAATTAGGACAACCTTTATGCTTAAAATAAAATGAGCTATGTCCAAAATTAATCTTGCCAATATGCAAATTAATAATGGATTTGACAAAAGGGGAGTTGGAAAAATTAATTAATCATCCAATGATAAAATTTTCCAACTTGCATACTTGTGTAAAATACCAAGATTACTTCTTCCAATATGAAGATTAATCAAATTTTACTCACAAGTAATTGAACATAATGGATTTTAATCAACCAAAATATGAAAAAATCCAAACTTTGTTCAACATGGAATTTAGGGTTAGGTTTCCAATCATTTAAACACTTAAAGATTAGAACTTTAACATTACTTGGGAACTCAAAATACAAAATCACAACAAGCTTTTCACACCTTATTGCAATTTATTTGCAAAATTGTGAAAAACAAGTTTATGTGATTACTTGGTATATCAACTTAAGCACTAATAAACACTCCATTATTATGCTCAAGGATATTTTAAAACCAGTAGATTAGTGATGCAAATGTGCATTTAATCTAACCTTGTAATGCTTGCATTAATCAAGGCTTAAAAAGAATTAAAACTTTCGTTGAAAAACGAAAAACCCCAGAAAAAGTGGGTTTCTGGTTCGAATTTGGCTTCTGGACAACCCTAAAAGAATTGAAACAGTTCCAGAATGTCGATTCCACCCAAAAATCACTATGTTTGAGCCAAAATCTGGGTTCGACAGCCAAATCGATAATAAAATCGAGTTTTAAAAATTAATTAAAACGAGCATCTAATCTAATTAGATGAACATGAACCAGAAAAATAAATTCTTTAAAACACCTCAATTAAACAATATTGCAAAAATTAAAAGGAGCGTGGATCCGATACCGCTGTAGGGTTTCGTACTGACCCGACACTACGCGGAAGGAAACCCACCAAGACCCGCCCCTTAATTAAAGCAATTAAACAAGCATAATTAACTTAATCAAACAAGATTAAGGACAAGAATTATACCTTTGACGCGTGCTTCGCTCCTAAAGAGCTCTTACTTCAAAATCTCGAAAAGACGAGATCTCCGACGGCTCGTACTCTCGATCCGACCCGAGCGTCCTAAGTCTTGAAGGTTAGTCAAGACCCGGACAAAATAACTATGAGTTTTACGAATCAAAGGTTTACTCCTTTTAGAGTTGCCTTTTTAATTCCACTCAAGGTTGTGTCAAATCCCAATACCAAGCTTGGTATTTATAGGGAAATGATCCCTTGATTTCCAATCTCCCATCAATGTGGGAGAGTTGGTAAAATGATAATTATTTAATTCCAAATTAAATAATTAATCAACTCAATCACAAATCGACACATGGCACAAATATAGAGAAAGCCAAGTGAGGACCAAGGCTTGGGGGGACCATTGCCTTGATCCCCAAGGCCATGTATTGGTCCCCACACACCATGCCCAAAACCGGGTCAAGGTGTGCTAGCTGGCTGCCAGCTAGCGTGCCTTGCTGCCCAGCACCCAGCCAGCCAGCCAGTGCACGCTGCTGCTGGGCTGTGCTGGTGCTACGTGCTGGCGCTGGGCGCTGCTAGCACCTAGTGCTGGCATTAGCCCCAGCAGCCCACGCACTCACTCTTCGCGCCTCACTGCTAGCACAGTCAGCATGCGTGCTGCTAGCGAGCCACGCATGCTGGCCACACTGCCCCCCCGCACCATTCGCATACCCCATCGCACACACGCACTAGCACGATGCCTACGCTAGCACTAGCCAGTGCCTAGCACTGCTTGTGCTTGATGCGAGGCATGTGCGCACGTACATGCACTCGCATGCGTGGCGCTGTTGCCTAGCACCTAGCCAGGCATTGCACGCACACGCACCAGCCATGCTCCACGCACCACGCACTGCCAGCCCACACGCAACACATGCGAAGCTGCTTGTGCGAGGCTAGGGTGCGAGGCTGCGAGTGTCAGGCCCTAACATCGAGCTGGCGCGCAGCCCCTCGCATGTGCTGCGATGCTTAGTGCTGCCATGCGAAGGCTAGCACTCAAGCACACGCACATGGCGCGCCATTGCCAGGCAGCCAGCCATGCCAGCACCTGGTCTGCGATAGGCGCCATATGCACCCAGGCACCACGCTAGCATGCTTGCTAGCTGCTATGGGCTGCCTGGTGCCTGTGTGGCCTGCGATGGCTGCCATGCGCACCTAGGCACCCATGCTAGCTTGCGATGGGCTGCTAGGGTGCGCCTAGGTTGCGATGGTGCCTAGCACACCATGGTGCGCCTAGCACACACATGGTGCACCTAGGTTTGCGATGAGCTAGCCTAGCCTAGCTATGGCTACGCTCATGCTTGTCGATTGTGATTTTGCGACGCTCGGTATCGACGCCCTAGGCTCGATTTCCGACGTCTGTATTCGTAAAACTCTGTCGACTCATTAAATCCTTTCGGATTAATTCGACGTCTCGGATCGGAGATTCGATTGGGTTCGACCCGAAGGGTTCAGTTAAGATTAAGCTGTAATATCAATTGTATCTTGATATTACTGATCGGAAGCGGCCTCCACCTAGGCATTCCGAGCACTTGACCTTACTGAAGAATTACCTCTGTAATAATTCTGAACCCTCTATCGGAATAATACACTTGTTGGAAGGACACCATTCCTTTCACTGCCATTGGCAGCCACAACATCACCAGCACTCAATTCCTACAGGATTCTCAGTCTAGTCTCAAGAAATGGTACTTTCAAGCTGGGTTTTTTCAGCCCACCAAACTCGCCATCGTTATGTTGGAATATGGTTTAACCAAGTTCCTAATATGACTATTGTTTGGGTTGTAGTAAATCAAATCCACTATAAGCAACATTGACTTCCAACCCCATTCATAACCAGGATTACAATCACTTCACTTTATTTGAAGCTGCGAAAATGCAATTTCGCATAAACTAATCAAACAATACAACACAAATTAATCCAATCTTGCAGCAAATTCGCACAAAACTAAACTAATCAAACAATTTCGTACTAAAACTAATCGAACAAATTCGCATAAAATAAATCAAAAAATTTCGTGCTAAAACTAATCGAACAAATTCGCACAAAATAAATCAAACAATTTGCACAAACTAATCAAACAATATAACAGAAATTAATCAAATCTTGCAGCATATATACCCTAGAAACAATCGAATTTTTCAGAACAGAACCCTAAAATAATTGATTATAAAAGAGATTAGAGCAATTATGTACCAAATTCGTTGAGATTGATGAGTGAGATTTGCGACGATAGCGAAAATGAAGATCAGAGATTGAGCGTTTGGGAGGAGAGAGAAAATGTTGATAAGCGTTTAAGAGGATAGAGAAAGTATAGTGGATGAGTTTTGTGATTTGTGAGAACCAAAAGGAAAATGTTTTCCTTTGATTTTTGGAGGAAAATGTTTTCAACTGTGGTATAAAACGATTTTACAGCCTATATTTTCCATTCTAATTTTGAGTTTTACCAAACAATGTAAAATGGGGAAAATAGTTTTCAGGGAAAACATTTTACGTCCTACCTTAGTAAAAATTGAGGGAGTAATACTTATTAGTTTTCATGTGTGTTTTTTCCTTCTAGCCTTGGAGTAGGAGCAAACAATATCAATCTACCGATGTTTGTAAATTAGGATATTTTGTTTCATTAAGTCGCGGTCTTAAGAACACCCAAAGCATTCAAAGGCTCACTACAGCAACAAGAACTCGCAACTCCTTGCAACGATAATAGGACGTTTGTTTCGAGAAATAATAGTGATAAGGTCATAAGGATTAGTAAATTAAACCTTTCAAATATCAATTTAATTGTTAAAACCTAATTTCACCAAAATCATTTTTTTTTAGAGCCACAAAGGCAGGAGTGAGAATCGATTTCATGATCCCCTAAAATCGAGAAGGAAGCTCTAACCACTGGAGCTATCCTTCACTCTCACCAAATCATTTATAGTAGGAGGCATATATTATGATAGTTACTTCATAAAATAACCAGACTAAACAAGGAATGAAAAATATTTTGATAAAATCTTACTTACCAATTCCCAATCCGCATTGATAGGGATGACAATTGGGCGGCGGTGCGGGTACCCCCTCCCCCATACTCGCACCCGTCAAAAATTTTTATACCCACCACCTACCTGCTACCCGCGGCGGGTAAAATTTTAACACGCATACTCGCCTAAGCGGGTAGAAACCTAGATCCACCACCCATTTGTATATCCACGATCCGCTTTTATCCGCTTATTACTTGCTAACCTAACAACATTTGTTTTATAAATTTTCTATAAATATGTCATTTTGCCATATCTAAATTGTTGTAAATACATAATTTAATAGCATATTATACAAGGTAGCAATCAATTTGTGATACAAAAATAAAAGTAGTAATAAGTGGGCGGATAACTAGGCGGGTAGGTGAGTAACTGGCGGGTAGACGGGTAATAGGCAGGTATGGCATCAAATCCACCACCTACCCGCTACCCATGGTGGGTATGACTTTTGTATCCATACCCGCCTACTTACCTGCCAAAGTTGGACCCATACCCGCTCCAACTGGGACAGGTGCGATACGGGACCCGTATTTTAATACCCACCTGCCATGCCTACACATTGATTCCCCTAATAGAAAGGGCTTATCAATAGAAGTAGTAATTTTTTGTACCTTTATAAAATTAAAAGAATTCCAATCCTTATTATTGTATCTTCATGTCACACATTAATACTCACTATGGGGATGAGATCTCTTACCCTCGATTCCAAAAGTCTTATTAATTTGAACTGAGTTGACTTGTGAAATATTTTGTTTTAATAAGAAACCTTTTACTAACCTTTAAAAAATAAAAATAAAAAAAATTCTCAATCCCCATGACTTCCCATAATCTTATCACTCATTTTGTTTATTTCAATTGCATAGTTAACCATATTACTAGTATACTACTATCTTATATGTTCCCATTTCTTTAACCAGCCTCTAATATAAAACAAACTATTTTTATACATGACCACATGGCTAATTAATTAACTGCTCCGTATATAATTGTCTTGATGTGACCTTAATATAATTTTATATACTGATTATTATATAGTCGAAACATTTTCCGCATTCATCAAAAAACAACATTATTGTATGAATATATACTTGTACATCGCACTAATGTCTAATACCCTACCTATTAATTTTCAAACCAACCCCATATTCATTGACTCTTCTAACAAACATCAGTTAAAACGTGGCTCACATTCAGACCCATGACACGATCATACAGTCATATTTATAAAAGAAAATAATCAAAACGTAACAAATAAAAAGGATTAAAGGAACGAAGGGAGTACAATCATAAGTGGATAACATTAAAACCATCTGCATGGGCGGCACAAATTAAACCTACAATTGTTTCAAAAAAAAAAAATTTAAACCTACAATTAAAATCTCTTACAACGCCTCTATATACGAAGCAAAAATGAGGACTAACACCGACAGTGCGACACCGTTGTTGGCGGCTGATGGTGGTGGCGGAGCGAGATGGTTGGCAAAAGTGGTGGATGTGAAGGAGGCGAAAGATCAAATATTATTTTCACTTCCAATGATATTAACCAATGTGTTTTATTATCTAATTCCGATTACTTCGGTTATGTTTGCTGGTCATCTAGGTCAACCTCAACTTGCTGGTTCTACTCTTGCTAATTCTTGGGCTACTGTTACTGGTTTTGCTTTCATGGTACCACTCTATCTTTTCCAACTCTCTTTTGGCTACTGTAATACTTCCTTCGTTCCTTAAAAGATTGTCGTATTAAGTGAGTGGGTAGTTTTGTCCTTCGTTTCTTAAAAGATTGTCGTATTAAGTGAGTGGGTAGTTTTGTCCTTCGTTCCTTAAAGATTGTCGTATTAAGTGAGTGGGTAGTTTTGTCCTTCGTTCCTTAAAGATTGTCGTATTAAGTGAGTGGGTAGTTTTGTCCTTTGAGCATGTGGGGTAGGAAATACGGGGGTAAAGTATAGAGAAATTGTAGGGACCATGTTTGATAAAAAGGAATTTGGCAAATAAGAGAATGTAGAAAAATGAAACTGGGGCTATTTTTAATAGATAGAGGGGGTAATTTATTGGTACATTCAAGAATGAATATAAGGGTGTTTTAGTGAAATTTTAGTAAGTTTAATTATATGAGGGTTGAAAAGAATGTGATGAATATTGAATGATTAAATTTGAAAGGGTGGAGTAGTTTATATGTAATAATTTCCATCATTGAGTTCTTTTTTGGCTGATTACCAATAATGCAATCATTTTTAGTTTGATGTTAGTATTGTTAGATAAATAATAAGCAACCAACTCAATTAAGTATACTTGGAATAACAAATAACCTTATGGATTGATGCAATGTACGCTTAATCTTGGCTATGCTGGCTTCGACTTAGAACTTCTGTATTAATTTAAGGACTAAAGCTTTGTTGTTTTCGTTGTATTCACTAAAAACAATCACAAATTCACAATAAAAATTACTTCTTAGTATTGACAACATACATTAGAGAATCTACAATATTTAGTTTCGATTAGTAAAAATCAGTTTAATTTATAATGGTCATATATACTTAAATGTCAACTTTGTGATTGTAGATTGGACTAAGTGGTGCATTGGAGACATTATGTGGTCAAGGATTTGGAGCAAAATTGTATGAAATGCTAGGGATTTATCTTCAAGCATCTTTTATAGTTTCAATCTTTTTCTCCGTACTTGTATCTATACTATGGTGGTTTACCGAACCCATTTTAGTTTTCCTCTATCAAAGCCCTGAAATTTCGAAAGAAGCAGCAGTCTACATGAGATTTCTTATACCAGGAATATTTGCGTATGGTATTCTGCAAAACATTTTAAGATTCCTTCAGACACAATCTGTGGTTTTGCCCTTGATTGTATTCTCACTTGTGCCACTGACCTTGCATTGTGGCCTTAGCTATTTGTTGGTTTATTGCACGTCCCTTGGTTATAAGGGAGCTCCATTGGCTACCTCCATGTCATTTTGGTTATCGGTTGTGATTATGTTGATGTATGTGAGCTGTGCTAAAAAGTTTGAGCATACTTGGAGAGGGTTATCGAAAGAATCGTTTTGCTATGTCTTGGCCAACTTGAAGTTGGCATTACCTTCTGCTGCTATGGTTTGGTAAGTACGTATATTATGTTCTCCTACATTAGCCACATTTTAAATATGTGATTGATCAAACTGGTGTGTATTTCTTTTATTGTTTCTGACATTTTTTTTTCTCAGTTTAGAGTATTGGGCATTTGAGATTTTGGTGTTCTTGGCTGGCGTTATGCCAAATTCTGAAGCATCGACTTCTCTCATTGCAATATGGTAGGATTAATTTCTATTTTTCTTGATTGTATTCCAATGAAAGATGTTGGTTGAATTTGATTTACGTGTGAATCTCATATCGTTCTCTTAAAACTAAACAGTGTTAATACAGAAGCAATTGCTTATATGTTTGCTTATGGACTGAGTGCTGCAGGAAGGTATTAATGCAACACTTGAATACCTTTGAATCTTGAATTCATAATTTTTTGTAACAAATTCAAAATTCAATCAAAAGTCTTATAGTTTAGCTTCCTCATGATAGCACAAGAGTTTCAAATGAACTTGGAGCAGGGAATGCGAATGAATCAAAGCATGCAATGCGTGTTACATTGAAGCTGTCAATTCTGCTAGCTGGCCTTGTTATTCTCAGTCTAGCCTTGGGACATAACATTTGGGCAGGCTTCTTCAGTGGCAGCACTTCTATAATTAAAGCATATGCTTCCATGACTCCTCTAGTTTGTATTTCAATATTTTTTGACTTTATTCAAGGCATTTTATCAGGTCCGAATAATATCTAAAGTCCTCATTTCTTTTCACTGTCATTATATATCTTCTAGCTCTAACTGCAGTTAATGATCTATTATGCTGTTCTTGGCCGCGAAACAGGGGTATGCAGGGGATGTGGTTTTCAGCACTTGGCTATGTTCATAAATTTGGGAACATTTTATCTTATTGGTATGCCCATTGCATGCTTACTTGCCTTCCAGTTTGATTTTAATGTCAAGGTAATCCTCCTAATCACTTTCTACACTTTTTATTGTGACTACTTTTGGTTGTTTACCTTGCATATTGAACAGCTTTCTTATAAATGTTTCCTCCCACACTGACCCCTTTCAATTTGGCACGAATTTTTTATCTAGGGTCTTTGGATCGGTTTGATATGTGGCCTTTTTGCACAATCTAGTTCACTTTATCTGATTACTCGACTCAAGAAATGGACAACACTTGAGCTCTCTTCTGACAACAATGGAAATGCAGTGCTAGTTTAACCATTATAGGTAGGAACATCATGTATCAACAAGAAGATGTTCTCACAATTGAAGTAAAATTATGGGGGTTAGTTAACTGTAGTGTTTTGCTCCAAGTTATTGTATTGAATTTTGAAGTCTGATGAATCAGTTTTACTAGTGTTCTTGGAAAGATTTTATAAAAAGTGAAAGGGTTCTTGGAAAGATTGCTATGGGATCAGATAAAAGGACCATTATGATAGCGTGCATGTACTGTACTGCCTGTACTACGAGTCTACAATATTTAAGAGGTTGAGCAATGAGCAGGATGGTAGACTATGCTCAGCTCATTGTTAGCTGCGCAGTGTACTCATTTCGGAGTAGAAGTGTATACATATGAGAATACCAAACCATAATTCCTATCATCATGTTGTATACAGTTAAAAGTTCAACCTTGTTCCCTTAAGTTTGATCCTTACACGGTTCTCATAAGTGGCGTAAATACTTACACTGTCCATTAATTTTGCAGTAGATACCCCATATATAAATGGTGAACTAGTGTCTTTGCTCCTGAGATAGGTCAAAATTGAGAACTTTCTGGATTTCGATTACATAGGCCTACTTACACAGGAGATCACCCTCAACTTGGGGCACCAGATCTGGGTGCTGAGTGCCCTTAACAATGCTAGGAGCCTAACTGTACTTTGCTGGAAAATGGTTGAATGTTTCATATGATCTGACGGTCAGCAAAGATGCTGCTGATGGGCGAAGAGCTGAAATGCCATGACGAGGCATTGTTTCCATGCTTTCAGTTTTCCTGCTTAAACACAAGGAAGAGGAAACTGATACTCCCTGCTAAGGTTCTTCGTCCCTATATCTGATCACTTGATCACTTCCAATGCCTACCAGCAGTGGAAATGCAGCGACAATTGGGAGGACGTACACGTACTGATGCAATGATCATTTTCTGCAGGTCATAGCTTTTCAGAAGGCTAGGGTGGAAAGATTCCAACTATCAGATATTTTAACATGCATTAACTTAATTAAGATGAAACTTGCAATATGTTGAGTTTGTAAGGATAAAGAGTGATCAAAAAGAACTAAAGAACAACACATAAATGCAATGCTAGGGTCATGCTAAGGTTCCTCTTACCTGTAGTTTAACTGACTAGCATATACAATTGTACAATATACATATTTTAGTAATTATAAACATACAAATGAGATTAAAATGTCAAATTAGGAATGGTATTTTCTCCTACTTGGAGAAAGAGCTCAATTATAATAAAATGTATATTTATTTAACTTGTATTTTCATGTGGGCATTAGTCTTGTTTATTTGGGCCCATATGATGTCTTCCACTTTAAGACCTAGCAAAGGAGAAATAATGGACTGAATTTGATGGACAAAATGATGCCAAATATTTTGGAAATCAGACACATCAAGAATTTGCCCTTTAAAACCTTATGTTTACATTTTTAATTTTTTTTTTTTGAATAGTAATCTTATGTTTAATTTTATTTGCCATATCTTCTGAAAAATATTCAATACACATTAATTTTAATATACTCCGTAACTAATAAAGTTTTGGCTAAACAACAAAGACTATAAGTCTGTGTACAATAGGTGTTTGAATTCTCCTCCTCCATTGGTAATTTATTCTCTTGTGACTCATTCATACAAAAAATAAATTAATTTAATCATTAATATCTTTCTTGTCTTTTTATGAAATTGAAATACGATATTAATACATTATCCTCAAAAAATGTCATGGCCACTTCATATGATTTACGTATAAGGGAAATTAATTTTTCCATGGAAAATACATTCATATTGGAAAAAGTACCTTAAATAATAGGATGATGAAACGCCAAGTCATCTTTAATTTTTAGAATTTATTTGACTAACACCTAAACAAATACTACTTCCTTCGTTTTATTAAGTTGACACCATTTGACTTTTACACTATTCATAAACTACACTTTGACTAGCTTTTATGATGTATAGGTATGATAAAAAATATCTAAGTGGGATCTTGTTTGAATCGTCTCAATGTATATTTTATTAATATCCACTTTTTATAATTTTACGATATCGAGAATCTGAAATATTAATCGTTAAAATAGTGCGTTGGCAAGCGTGATAAGATAATAGTGTCAACTAAATAAAAACGAAGGTAGTATATTACTAGGTTAAACCCCGTGCAATAGATGCAAGGTTGTTAAATAATTAGGAAAAATTGTCTAGAATAATCCGACATTTGCCTCATCCGCCCAAAACAATCCCACCTTTCGATTATTTTTTAATAATCCGACTTTTAATGTCAATCCGCTTTAAATGGTCCTTGGTAATCGGTAACCTATTAAACATGTAAAATTTTATTTTTTTGGTTTTAAAGTACACGTGTCACCACGCGATTTATCTAAAATTTAAAATAAAAAAGAAATGAATTTAAAAAAAAAAAAACAGCCCCGGCACCAACCATCCCCCTCCCTAAACCCAGCTCCACCCCTTGAAGCCGTCGTTAACCGGAGCGGCACCAGCCATCCCCCTCCCCCAGCCCAGCTCCACCCCTTGAAGTCGTAGTTAACCGGAGGGGCGGAAAATGTTGTCGGGGACGAGGAGTGGGGCTGAAATCAGGGCGGGGGAAGAGAAGGGAGGTCAAATCGGGACGGGGGAAGGAGAGGGGGCCGAAATCAGGACCAGGAAGGGGGAGGGGGTTAGGATCGAGACGGGAAACGGGGAGGAGTGGCCGGAATTGCAACGGGAAAGGGGAGGAGTGGCCGGAATTGCGACAGGGAAATGGGAGGGGGCCGGGAGCGAGATCGGTATGGGGAAGGGTTTTTAGATAGTGATTGGTGGTTCAGGGAGAGGGTAGTTGGCGATTTAGGGGAGGGGAAGGTTTTCAGCGCAGCGCTCCGGCACTGGGGGGGCAAGCAGGGGATCGAGCTTGTGGGTGTGGACTGCCGTGGAGGGTGGTTGGGCTGGTGGGGGTGGTTTCTTGGGGTTTTTTTTTTTGGAATAATAATTAATTACTTAATAACTTTTTAATTTTTTCCTTAAAAAAAATTATATTTTTCATTTATTTTTATTTTTTTTACCAATCAGATGCCGACACGTGTCATGTAACTTTCAATAACAAGTTAAATGATCGATTGGGACCATTTAAAGCGGATTGATATTAAAGGTCGGATTATAAAAAAATAATCAAAAGGTGGGATTATTTTGGGCGAATGAGGTAAAGTTCGGATTATTGCAAGCAATTTTCCAATTTTAAAAGCAACATAAATAAAAGGACTAAACAGACAATTATTAGAAAATATGAAACATATTTAAAAGAATCACCACTTGTAATGGTTATAATGAACTATTTAATATTGTAGAAAGTTTAGCATGTAAAGTAAATGTCAATATTTAGATACAATAAGCCTTTGTTATGGTAAGAATAATTTTTTATAAGTAAATATTTTTGGATCCAAGGGAAAATTTTCAATATAATAATGTTGTCAAGTGTCCTTTTAATTTAGCCTTTAGTAATATGTAATAGATTGATAAGTTAAAATATATTAAGATGTTAGTTTGAGACTTTGAGTATCATCACAACCAATCTCATCTTTCCAGTTAATATAGGATTTATTTTTTTTTATTTTTTTTATTTTACCACCAAAAAATAACCCATTTTTTAAGCTAATCACTTATTCTAAGTTTTATTATAATATACCACCGAAAAAAAGACAAAAGATAAGATTTCACCACCACTTAATACTTTCCGCAAGAAAACTATTAAATCTAGTACTTTCTCCATAATGTTAGTCCCATTTAGTTAATTTTGACTATTAAAAATTAGAGGGAATCTTCTAAATTTCTCTTTATATATAAAAATAAACATAGTCATATGAGATTTATTTTTGTTCGTCTCAATTAGTACTTTATTAATATCTAATTTTTATAATTTTTGCTAGTGTGAGATTAAAGATATTTGCGATCAAAGATTTGCATCGATATACATAAATGGGACTAACAATATTTTAACAAATTTCTTCGATTTAATTTCCATGCCAACAACATGTAATTTAACATTTTGGGGTCATTTTGATTTTAAAAGGTCCAATTTTAAATTGACAAACAATAATTAAAAATGCCTCACTAAATTATTGAAAAGTGAATTTTAAAATACAATATATAAAAATAGCCATGTCAAATCCATTTTTTTAGTTAAATAATATTTCAGCATAGTTTGTGTGCGGCTAACTAAATCATGTGACCGCTTGTAAAAGAATAAAATAACATTTATAACACTGTCCGAGTAAACTCTGCAATACTGACCGAGTAACTCCTATAATACTAACGAAGTAACCACTATAACATTGACCGAGTAACCCTTATAACACTAACGGAGTAACCCATATAATGGTTGGTCACACGGTGTGACTAACTGCATATGTTTGTGATAATATTTGCAGTTCTTTTATTTTTCTTGGATAGATAAGAAAAATGGTTCTATTGGAGCGAAACCTCTCATAGGTCAACCCGACCCAAGAGGATAAGTCACTAAGTCAATTACCCATTTGCCACTACTTCCTACACTTCATATCGTATACTATGAGTTTTTTGTATTCGCACAGCAAAGTACGCGTGTTCTACTACTATTGAAAATTTGAACTTTCTCAAGTCTTAGCATTAGCCACGTCTCACACTCTATTCTTTCACACAACGAAAATGACAAGTTGACAACTCATACATTTGCTCCACTGAGTATCCTTAACCTTTTCTTATAATAACTATACTTATTCCCTTTTTAAGTCGCAATGCTTTCAATTTATACTTATCAACGAATAGTTTTAACCAAAAATTTCCCTAATCATCAATACATAAATATCACATAAAGTTAATATGATATAAGTATACATTGAAACACGTGTACGATGTTACAAATCAATATAAATTTTTTTTCTAAGTATACACAATCAATAATAATTAAGATAGATCGTGTAAATAGTATAAAAACTCAAAATGATATAAATATAAACAACACATTACAAATATAAGTTTATTTCTTATGAGTAAAAAAACATTGAGTAGACATGTCTCTCAATACATATCTTCAATTTTCAAACATCAATTTTTATAATTTTTAATAATTGATGTAACAATTAAGATTGTACTTTAGCAATTGTCATAGTATTTTGCAACTACAAATCGAAGTAACAAAAACTCTAAAATAAGATAGTTGTACACTCAACATTGTAAGAAAATACTTTGTAGATAAGACAGTTGTAGACTCAATATTGTTAGAAAATACTTTGTACATGAGTTACTCTAAAAAAGATTAAAATTCTCCTCAATATTAAAAGTCACCCTGTTTTATTTTTATTTTATTTTTTTTTTTTTTTTTTTAATAAAGTTGCTCTATTTTACAAATGATTTACCCCTTGAAAAGTACACATAATGTATAGAGATAACCGTATTAACCTTTTAAAAATTACTTCAAATCCTTTTCATTTTCTAATGTATAAAGATAATCAAAACAATATTAAAAGTTACTTCAAAGCTGCTAAAAAACTACTTCAGTATAAGACTTTCATGTTATACAATAAAGTTATTGTATGCTTCAGAACAAAAAATATAATCGTCTACATGAAACGAAGGAAGTACAAAAAAAAATGCTTATTTATATTTATATAATTTATTTTTTAAAGTGTAACGTCGTACTAGATTAAAAAGAAAAATCAAGTACTAATATTACCTCCTATTTTGTACACCAAATTACACGTTTTTATACCACTCCACAATAAAAAAATAATAATAATAAAATAAAAAAAATTCCACACAAAAGTTGAAATTAATCACGTCTCTTACTCAATTCCATTACACCATGATAAAGACAACTCATTAAATTACTCTATCCTAAATCCTTATTTTACTAATACTAATCTCTCTTAATCCTCATTTACATTCTTGTCAAAAAAAAAAAAGGCTCTCATTTACATTTATTTTCTTCCATTATTTCACCTTAAATTATTTTTCCACCTTTATAATTTATTGACCAAATAATTTCTTACTATATATAAATTGATCACATAATAAAATCTTGATTTACATAGTAAAGTTATAGTGTCCTACATAATAGTACACCCTATAATACTTCAATTCCCTTTGAACCTTCTAGTCTCTCCACTCCTATATATAAACACCTCCACCTTTGTCCTTCTTCCTCCATTATTAGCTTTACTGTTTCGTATCATTTTTCTTCTCCACTCATTATTTTCCAACTTTTTTCTTCTATCTTCACCCATGGCTTCTCTTAAGCTTTTGGGTGTTCTCTTTATCGTTTTAGCCTTTTCGGGTTGTTCCGATGCTATGAAAGCACGCCCTCTTAGGCATTATGTTAATGGTAGGCAAGGATGGGTTCCTCACCCTGCTCAGGATTATAATCAGTGGGCTGGTTCCAATCGGTTTCTTGTTCATGATACTGTCCGTAAGTTCTTCCTGTTTCGACTTTTTATTTTATTTTATTTTTAATTAGTCCGATTCTATAACATCATACCTTAACCTAAAATAAAAAAAAAAAATTAAAAAATAAAAAATTACGTATTTTGTGGTGACTACGTGAAATGTTTGATTTGATTAATCGATTAGATGATGTATGTACTCGTATAGACTATAGACTGTAGTATGTGTTTAATTAATTGGTACTCGTATAGACTATAGACTGTAGTATGTGTTTAATTAATTGGTATTTGTTGGCTGTTGATTGGCAGTGTTTAGGTATAACAAAGCGACGGATTCAGTGTTGGAAGTGAGTAAAGAAGATTATGATAGTTGTAACACTGATCACCCTATACAAAAGAAGCAAGATGGCGAGTCGGAATTTGAGTTGAATCATTCAGGACCATTTTACTTCATTAGTGGTAACAAGACTAATTGTCAACAAGGCCAAAAGATCATTGTGAAAGTCTTATCATATCCCTCTAAACCACCTTCCGCCAAGCCTCCAGCTTTGTCGCCTGGGGCGCTTCCTCACCCGCCTCCGTCGTCTCCTGGTGCCTCCCCCGGTTCTCCTACTGCACAACCTCCGGCCTCTCCCGGATCCGGCCACCATGGCGGCGGCGGTGGAGCCGGCGGTCCATCAAGCTCGCCTTCCGGTACACCTGGCACTTCTGGTCCAGCCACGTCACCTCCATCGGGTACACCTGGCGCTTCTGGTCCAGCCATGTCACCTCCATCGGGTACACCTGGCACTTCTGGTCCAGCCACGTCACCTCCATCGGGCACACCTGGCACCTCTGGTCCAGCCACGTCACCTTCATCTGGCACACCTGGCGCTTCTGGTCCAGCCACGTCACCATCCTCCGGCACACCTGGCGCTTCTGGTCCAGCCACGTCACCATCCTCTGGCACACCTGGCGCTTCTGGTCCAGCCACGTCACCATCCTCTGGCACACCTGGCGCTTCTGGTCCAGCCACGTCACCATCCTCTGGCACACCTGGCGCTTCTGGTCCAGCCACGTCACCATCCTCTGGTACACCTGGCACTTCAGGTCCCGCCATGTCACCATCTGGGTTCCCAATTGGTCCGGCAGCTTCTCCAACAACCGCCGGTGAACCAGCCGTTTCTCCGGCAGGCAGTGTTGCATCGCCGCCGGCACCACCAGGGTCAGCTCCAGCATCCGGACCGGGTTTGGGACCAGCATCTGGACCGGGGGGTGCAGGAGGGAACCCGTCTGATATAAACGCTCCATCGCCATCGGAGAGTTCAGAATCAAAGAAAAACGCCGCCGGGAGGGACGGCGTTTCAATGAGTGTGGGTTTATTATCGGTATTAGTTGGTTTAGTTATGTGGTTTAATTAAGTGATGTTAATTACTTTTGGGTCATTTTCTCCATTATTGTTATTAGTGTTTATTTTATTTTTGGTTTTTTGAGTTATGATTTTATGTGGAGGCATAGTGGTACATGTGTGTGATTATCTTTATCTCTACTTTTTATTTTAGAGGTCCCCTTTTTATATAATCAGGGGTGTTTTATGATTTTAGGTTTTGGACAGTGATTTTTTGTGTATTTATTATTTCGGACTTTGAATAATTGATTACTCAGTTATATTTATCAATCCTTGTATAAATTTCATTGTTTTGAAAAAAAATTTCATTTTGTATTAATTATTAAATTGTCTTGGAGCTAGTTCTTGATAATTATAGTCATCGATCAGTATCTTTTATCGTTAAATATTGTTCATGTCAAGACATATGGAGTATCGATCAAAGAACTTTTAAACATGTGGATATTACATATAAATGTCTTTAAAATTCATCAAAGCATGAAGCATGATTATTATATATTTTTTGCAATTATTGAACTTTCTAGAGGAAATACATGTCTAAATTATGCCAAGTCTGCTAGTCCATTTAAAAACTCACATTTATATTTTCTTATAAAAAAAAAATTGACAGGGTAGAAAATTATACTTTGTATAATCAAATATTTTCTCTATCTTTTATACTTGAACACTTCTTTTTTCACGCTTGTCGATACATTATTTCAATTGCTAATATCTTCAATTACCGATATGTAAAAATTATAAACATTTGATTTAAAATAATATAAATCGAGACGAATTTAACAAGATTCCACAAAAAATAAATCACCAATTCTAGTCAAAGTGAAGCAAATGAATAGTGTAAAAGTCAAACGGTTTCAAAAAATAAAAAACGGAGGAAGTATTAAACTAAATCCAAAATTTGTGTATGGTAAAAATTACAACTCGGAATCCTAGGATATCATGATTGCATCAGTATCGATCGGTACAGTATGCTTGCAAATTTATTAATCGGGCGTCAAAATCAGTACATCATGGTGGCAAATTTTTAATCATACATTCACAAGTCGTTGCACCATCTTTTAGACATCAATGCACAATCTCAAACAACCTAACAATCTAACACTTTTGTAAATATTACAACCATACATATTTTGACGATTTCTTATATTTTTCATTAATTCAGATGTTACCTTATATGAAATTTATCGCATGGTCAGTAGTTATAAATAATCCATCATAATGAATGAATATGTCAATATACATATAGATGTATGGTATAAATTTGAGTGGTTATTAACCAAGCACCTAAACGTTACTATGAGTATTATTAAGGTTGCATTTTCTATACATCAAAAAATTATGTTTTAGGTCTAATATGGTCAAATAAGGTTCAATAAGCTTACTATATTGCAATTATGTCTAATAAGTACTAGATCGATCAAATTGAATCAGGTCCAATAAGTACATATTGGATAAGGTGAAGTTTATATTGATTTATGTTCAATTTTATCTCATGTTATACGAGTATGAAAAAAGTCTCTCTAATTTGATCTTATACATAATTTCACATATATATAGAACTCCAAAATTACAATAAATGAAAGTATGAATTAAATTTATAGTATGTGCTATAGCTATTCATCACTTTTAGCAGAAGTGGGTGGATGATACTAATAAATGAGACAATATATATTTCTTGTCCAATCTATTTACACTGTTTAAGAGAGAACAAATATAATAGAGGGGGGGGGGGTGACGTTGAACAATTGCCAAATGGTTTATTATAAATCAAAGGCTTCTTCATTAATCAAGGTATAATGGTTTCATATTCGCAGCATGTATTCCTTTAAGCAGATGCCATTTTCTATGTTATGTGAATAATTTGATACTTAGCTTTGAAAGGCGCATAACCTCGAAATTTTATTCTTGTGATCCTTTAATTTAGGAAACTTATATCTTGTTTATATAACCAATTTTTATTTCTCCGGTGACTGATTGTTACATGAGAGTACGTTGGGGTTGAAGTGTGGATGTAGCATGGGCCTTGATTAGGGGATTTTGCTCCCACCAATCGGAATGCGCCACGTGGACCAATCAGGTCCTGACAAGTGTCCCTCAGTTGGAACTGTCAGGGCTTGCCACGTGGCACACGCTTATTCGTCCACCTTGGACCTATTATGTCATGATACGTGGCATACTCCATGCCTAATGGAGAAACCGGCCACCCAGGCCCAACTTCCGAGGGAAGCCCAATCAGCCCTAGGTGAACCTAAACCTAGGATTGGCACGTTTCCCAAGGTTATAAATACCTCCCTTAATCCTCATTAAGGGGGGATTACAGGGATAACAGGCTGATCACGCTAACAAAGCAGATTACGCTAAAAACTCACATTAAACACTCTCACCTAGAGAGACCCAATCACTTTAATTTCCGCATTAATTACTCCTTAATCAAGTACTAACTTGACCGTTGGAGGCGGAGCTCCCACCACCAGGAGTCTCCGTTGTTTTGCAGGTACAGGCGTCTGGTTCCAGTCTCGGAATTGTAACTCTCCCGCAGGACATCAGAAAACCCCGAAACATTTGGCGCCGTCTGTGGGGAGAGTACTTCTGAGATGGCATCCAAGTCTGTACCGACTCCTGAAGAGAGGCGTCCCCTAGACGACCCTCAAGTTCAGTCGGACCACGATACTGAGAATGAATTTGAAGTTGAAGCTCACACAGCTTCAGACGAGACCCTAAGGGCCCGACGTACCCGTCATACCGAAAGAAGGGAACGGGAACATCTTCAAACAGGAAGCGAGCCAGCAGGCGCACCGCCTGTTCGGCAACAGCCGACTGATGGATCTGCTCCCATTATAAGGAACGAACTCATGACCTTCATGAGGGACTTCAAGGGAGAAATTCAAGAGTTGATCTACAAGAAGCCGCCTGCTCTGGACAAGGAGCAGTCGGCTAAGAAACCCTCCACTTCACAGAAGAGGAAGCCAGTTCAAGGGCGAGAGGCGACTCCTCATCCTAAATCTAGGAAGCGGGAGCCACCTGCCCTTGATTTCACAAAATATCGTTTTCCTACTCCAGGAAATAGGAAACCTGTTCGTCATATTCAGGCGGACGGGACGAGGAAATCATACACAGACGCTCGGCTACTGCTAGAGCAGAAGAAGAGTGACCGATTGTCAGAGTCGGCCTCTACTTCAAACTTCCAAGACAGTCTGCGAATACCTCAATGAGGCATACTCAGTCGTATCGTGAGAGTCAGTCAGGCGGCACCTCCCGTCAGTCCGGCTTTCATAGCGACCAGGCGGTACCAAACTTACCGTTTGTACCGCAACAACAGTATTTTTTACAGCCACCTCCGTTTGGTGGTCATGCAGCAAAAAATGTCCAACCTATGGACTGGCAGCTTCAGTTGCTTAGACTTGGTGAACAGCCGTCGGCCTTCTCCAAGGAAATTACTGAAGTCGCTCAGCCGGCCAAAGTGAAAAATGTATTAGTAGGCGCCTATGACGGCACTACTAACCCAGAAGACCATCTGATGGCATTCACCAACCTGATGTACCTTCAAGGGTTGGATGATCCCACTTGGTGCAAGTGTTTCCCAGCGACTCTCAAAGGAATCGCACAACAATGGTTCGGCAACCTGCCGACTGGTTGTGTAAATAACTTCAGGACGCTTGCTTACTTATTCACCTCCAACTTCGCCATGAACATCCCTGCGAAAAAGACGACCCTTGATTTAGGAACAATTCAGCAGGGCGAGAAGGAGGGGCTTCGTTCTTACATCAGGCGGTTTAACCTGATGAGAATACAGATTCAAGGGTTACCGGATGAGGTAGCCTATACTGACTTTTTCAGAGGTCTCAAGGACGGGTCGACCTTCAAATTTGACTTGGTCCGAAAGAGGGTGGCGACTCTTCAAGAGGCCTTGATTGAAGCGGAAGCCTATATACAGGCGTCTGATCTTTGTAAGGTAAAACAGTCGGACGGGAAAAGGTTCGACAAAAGAGAAGGACGACAGAAACAGTCGTCAAACAAAGACGAGAAAAGAAAAGAGGTCTGGGCGGCTGATTCCTCTAAACAGCCGGCCCAGAAAAAGAAAAAAGAATTCAAACCATACTCCCCAAAGTATGCGTTTAACAAGGATAGCAAGTTTATCCTAAAGGAAATCAAGGGACGGATTTCAATTGAGAAGCCGGTCCCCATGAAGGGTTCTGCAAACAATCGGGACCAAGATAAATTCGGTGCTTATCATGAAGATGTTGGTCATCACACCAATGAATGCATTAGTCTCATGCGGTATCTGGACCGCCTGGCTGAACAAGGTGATCTTGACACTTATGTCAAGAAATCTACGAGGAACACTTCCTCAAAAAAGAAGTCGGCCAAAAAGAATCAACAGGCCGACAGCTCCGATACAGATGATGCAGTCGTCTACACCATTGCAGGCGGCTTCTCAGGAGGCGGCCCCACTATTAGGGGCAACAAAGACAATATCAGGCGGTTAGATGTAAATTCCGTTCACCAAGAACGACCCTCCAAATATTCATTTCCAGAGATTGTCATCACTGAAGAAGATCTAGGAGGGGTAAGAGGGCCGCATGACGACCCTATCGTTATTGAATGTAAAGTGGCCAACCAGAGAGTTGGCCGAATCCTCATAGATACCGGAAGTTCCTCATATCTCATCAGTAGCAAATGTCTGTCGAAACTAAAATATCAGACTGATTGCATACATCCGGCCTCCCACCCTTTAGTAGGGTTTGGAGGAGGAGTCGTCCACCTAGTGGGACGAGTGGATTTACCCATCCGCCTGGGCGAAAAAGGGGAAGGACGACACATGGTAGTCCGGTTCCTGGTAGTAAAAGAACTCTCGGCCTACAACATGATTCTGGGACGACCAACCCTGAATAATTCCAAGGCTGTTATAATCCCATCTCTTATGTTGCTCAAGTTTGAGAGGGATAATGGAACAGTCGGGTCCCTAAGGGGAGATCAGAGGATTGCCCGAGAGTGCTATCTCTCGGATGTCAAGCCCACTGTTATGGCCACTGGGTCAAGTGGTGGAAAAACAGACCTTATCATTGTCAAGGAGAGTGCGCCTGTTCAAGAAGCAGGCGGAAAGAAGAGAAAGGCATCCTAGACAGAAGCTCAACCTGGATGGATCCAATCAGGGCATATCTGACAAACGGTACCCTGCCGGATGATCATATTTCTTTTGAATGATGTAAATAGTCAAGGGCTACTTAATAAAAGTTTGCATACTTAATATTCAATTTTGTACTAAGAGG